TCTACACGTCTTCACCGTCTCTTCTACACGTCTTCACCTCTCTTCTACACGTCTTCACCGTCTCTTCTACACGTCTTCACCGTCTCTTCTACACGTCTTCACCGTCTCTTCTACACATCTTCACCGTCTCTTCTACACGTCTTCACCGTTTTCTTCTACACGTCTTCACCGTCTCTTCTACACTTCACCGTCTCTTCTACACGTCTGCACCGTCTCTTCTACACGTCTTCACCGTCTCTTCTTCACGTCTTCACCGTCTCTTCTACACGTCTTCACCGTCTCTTCTACACGTCTTCACCGTCTCTTCTACACGTCTTCACCGTCTCTTCTACACATCTTCACCGTCTCTTCTACACGTCTTCACCGTCTCTTCTACACGTCTCCACCAGTCTCCTCTACCTTTAAGAAAGCAGGTCATATTGTGCAGGCAGCAGGAACACAAGTTATGGGCCGCCGTGACTTTGGAAAATCATGTTAAGCTTGACTTCCTCCCGCTAGTGTGGGACGGTAAGAGGACGCTGCTGTCTCCAGACAGCAACAGACACGCTGCACCTTCTCTGTCTACTGTCTGGTGCCCCAGACACACTACACTACACCTCTTCTGTCTACTCTGGAACACCAGACACACTTTGATACACCTCTGTCTACTCAGTTGACAGAGATGTAGTGTAGTCTGTCTGGGACTGCTGTCTAGAGAAAGAGGGGAGGTGTAGTGTACTGTATCTGGGACTGCTGTCTAGAGAAAGAGGGGAGGTGTAGTGTACTGTATCTGGGACTGCTGTCTAGAGAAAGAGGGGAGGTGTAGTGTACTGTATCTGGGACTGCTGTCTAGAGAAAGAGGGGAGGTGTAGTGGTGTGTATCTAGGACTGCTGTCTGGAGAGACAGAGGAGGTGTAGTGTGTCTGGGACTGCTGTCTAGAGAAAGAGGGGAGGTGTAGTGTATCTGAGACTGCTGTCTAGAGAGACAGAGGAAATGTAGTGTGTCTGGAACTGCTGTCTAGAGACAGGGGGAGGTGTAGTGTATCTGGGACTGCTGTCTAGAGAGACAGGGGAGGTGTAGTGCGGTGTGTCTGGGACTGCTGTCTAGAGAGAGGGGGGAGGTGTAGTGTGGTGTGTCTGGGACTGCTGTCTAGAGAGACAGGAAAGGTGTAGTGTGGTGTGTCTGGGACTGCTGTCTAGAGAGACATGGGAGGTGTAGTGTAGTGAGTCTGGGACTGCTGTCTAGAGAGACAGGGGAGGTGTAATGTAGTGTGTCTGGGACTGCTGTCTAGAGAGACAGGGGAGGTGTAGTGTAGTGTGTCTGGGACTGCTGTCTAGAGAGAGAGGGGAGGTGTAGTGTAGTGTGTCTGGGATTGCTGTCTAGAGAGACGGGAGGTGTAGTGTGGTGTGTCTGGCGATTGCTGTCTAGAGAGAGAGAGACGGGAGGAGTAGTGTAGTGTGTCTGGGGACTACTGTCTAGAGAGACAGGGGAGGTGTAGTGTAGTGTGTCTGGAGACTGCTGTCTAGAGAGACACGGGAGGTGTAGTGTGTCTGGGGACTGCTGTCTACAGAGACAGGGGAGATGTAGTGTGTCTGGGGACTGCTGTCTACAGAGACAGGGGAGATGTAGTGTGTCTGGGGACTGCTGTCTACAGAGACGGAAGTGTAGTGTAGTGTGTCTGGGACTGCTGTCAAGACAGTGTAGACTCTACTGTCTCTCCAGACAGCAACAGCGACACACTACACTACACCTCTGTCTTTCCCTTTTACGCTGTAACCTCTTGTGGATGACCCGTTTTACGACCTGCTTACTTAAACATTTATACATAAGCTACATTTATACACACACTACCTAGGGTGTCATAACTGAGCTACATAAACATTTATACACACACTACCTAGGGTGTCATGACTGAGCTACATAAACATTTATACACACACTACCTAGGGTGTCATAACTGAGCTACATAAACATTTATACACACACTACCTAGGGTGTCATAACTGAGCTACATAAACATTTATACACACACTACCTAGGGTGTCATGACTGAGCTACATAAACATTTATACACACACTACCTAGGGTGTCATGACTTACATAAACATTTATACACATACTATCTAGGGCGTCATGACTGAGTTACATTAACATTTATAATTATTATTATAATCAAGGGGAAGCGCTAAACCCGGAGGATTATACAGCGCCTGGGGGGGATGTGGAAGGCATCCAGGCTTAATTCGGGGAACTGGAGCACAGATCAAATTCCCTAAATCAAGAGCCCCTCACCAACATCAAGGAACCTTCCTTGAGGGGTTAACATTTATAATATATAAAGTTATACGCAGACTACCTTTCCAGCATCAAGGGACCTCACCAACATCAAGGAACCTCCTTTGAGGGGCCTTGAAAGGATAGGCCTGGGGCTTCAGCTGCCTTTATTATTTAGTGATAAGTGCTAAACCCATAAGGGTTATGTATGTATATATACATGTATATCCTAATGGAGTGCAAAGCCTATCAATTCCACGAGGGTCATTAGGGATTAAAGTATTATTATCATGGGGGAGCACTAAACCTGTAGGATACAGCCCCTGTGGGAAGGGAGGGGGGGGTTGGTTAGAAGGCATTCATGCTCAATTCAGCAAACTGGAGCAGATCCATTTTATACACACTGAGACTCACACACCTGTCAGTGTATATAAACAACTCTGAATATACACTGAAACACACCTTATGTATATTATTATAATCAAAACCAGGCACTAAACCCACAAGGGTCATAAGTGCTGAACCTCAGTGTATGTACGTAAGACATGCACACCCTTGATTATGTATATCCGAAGACAGACAGACACACACACACACACCTCATTGTATATATCATATGCTGGTAGGCATCATTGAGCACCTGCTTCCTCAACTCCTTCCTTAATAGTAAAATAACTGAAGGAAACTGTGCTCTCCTAGAAGGCCCGGGCTGGGACGACCCCGGCGAACCTACGACTACTACTACTATTGTACTTCCTAGACCCACCACTCACACTTGGTCATCTCATGGAAGGAATTAGCACCAATATGAACATTTTTCTGGTTGTACCGATGCTCCAATATCCATCCCATTCATGATAGCACATGGAGATTCATTTTCAATGGCTTCAAAACCGTGGCATACTTACAGTGGCTTCCCTCCTCTCCGATAGTCCCATTTTTAATGCAGATTCAAACTACGATTATTTGAAACTGATTGACTCCTTGATGGACCTTTCACTTATTCTCATCCTCCATGTTTCTAACTTAACATTATTATCCTGCCAAGAAGCACTCAATGATTTATTTGGGTTTAGTGCATTTTTGGGAAAATGAAAATGAAGTTGAATAAGACACATGTGCAGCCCTATATTATGGAGATATTTTGCTAACCAGAGGACTTCATCGCTTTAAGACAAAGAACAAACAGTAGATGTGAAGTTAATTACTTCTTCATGTCTTCCATCATCTCCATTATTATCCTGTGTTGGGTTCATAAAAATATTAGTTATCAGTTTAAGTGCTAAACTCATAAGGGTCACACAATATTGCTGGGAGGGATATGCAAAAGTAGGAATGTGTGAAAATTAGGAACAAGAGAGGTAGGGCCATGCGAAGGTAGATATTGGATTAAGTCACTTGTGTGTGACTTGTATCATTAACATACCAATGGCTGTACAATCATGTCTGGGCTTCTAACACTAGCACATAATAATGTTAGTGAAATTTTGTTTAACATATAAAGTAGTATCTTATTCGAGTTGCAACAAGGTTTGTGTGAGGTGTTGTAGCATCTTGAGTGAGTATCACCTCAGCGTTTAACTATATAAAGGCTTCTGTCACTTCAACTTCTATTTCCCGGAACAATGCTATCAGACGATGACATCACTTTGGTATTTTACATTTTCAATATTTCACTGCGTGAAACCCTTTACATGAATGTTGACAATATCAACTGTAATTTTTATTGGTTAACATTTATTTTTTCTTTCTCACACTAAGTTCGGCCCCGTTCTCCCCATCCCGAGGCAGGGTGATCCAAAAAAGAAAGAAAATCCCCAAAAAGAAAATACTTTCATCATCATTCAACACTTTCACCACACTCACACATTATCACTGCTTTTGCAGAGGTGCTCAGAATACAACAGTTTAGAAGCATATACATATAAAGATACACAACATATCCCTCCAAACTGCCAATATCCCAAACCCCTCCTTTAAAGTGCAGGCACTGTACTTCCCATTTCCAGGACTCAAGTCCGACTATATGAAAATAACCAGTTTCCCTGAATCCCTTCACTAAATATTACCCTGCTCACACTCCAACAGATCGTCAGGTCCCAAGTACCATTCGTCTCCATTCACTCCTATCTAACACGCTCACGCATGCTTGCTGGAAGTCCATAATAATAAAATAATTTATTGGAGGGCACTGAACCCTTAAGGGTCATACACTGCTTGAGAAATGTTAAGCATTTAGGCTCAGTTCAAGGAATTGGAGCACAAATCCAGTTCTTTAGATCAGGAGCCCTTCACCAGCATCAAGGAACCTTCCTTCAGGGGTAATCAAGGGAAAGTGCTAAACCCATAAGAGGTCATATCATACCTTTTTAATGGGAACATTAATGTTCAAAGGGAGGATAAATCCAGTACCTTGGATCAAAGGCCCCTCTGTGGCATCCCCTTGATAGAATCCAAGGAATATTACTGTATATTATAGTCAAGTGCTAAACCCTTATGTCATACAGCACTTCAGGAATAGAAGGTAATCAAGTTTAATCCAAGAAAAAGGAGTCATACAATAGTTGTAGAGAACCACTAGCCAGCAGCAATAATAGTGTGCCTTAAGAATGGGAGGTAATAAGTTTCTGATGCAAGGAAGGCAAGAGTAGTTCCAATGGCTTCAATCAAGTCATTCACCAGCAATTCCAATTTTCTATGTTCATCTTGCTGAATTTTGATGTAAGGCATTAAAAAATACACTACATTTACAAAAAGAAGTTTAATAAGAGTTTCATAACATACGAGACAATGTTGACATGATCCTCCACTGAATTCCTAGAAGTCAGAATATATTACAAATTTCTGCTTCATTTTATTACCTCAAGCTGGTGAACAGGAAGCACAGCACTCAGATCTGGCAAATTAAGACAGCTCTTCACAAGTGGAAGATTTCAATAAACTCTTTAATACATCTGCAAAACATGCAGTTACTTATAGTAAACAATAGTAGTTATTGCATGCTTTGCATAAAGGACAAATAAGCATATTTGAGGTTAACTATTCCCAGAATACAATACAGTTTTAAGTGTGGAAAAAAGATACTGAAGTACAGTTCAGGATATTTATTAGAGGAAAAGTTTTACCACTAGTGGCTTCTTCAGTCCTTACACAGAGAAACATTTCCCTAATAAATGTCCTAAACTGCAAATAAGTTGTCTTTTTCCACATCTTGTTGGCATCACTATACCATTGTACAGCTTTATGTAAATAAAGTACAAAATTTTCACGAGTATAAATTTGTTTATGAAAGTTTCAATCTAATTTTAGGAAGTACCGTCAAGAAAATCTTGACTGAACAGTTCGTACGAACTTGTGCTGTAAATGTCCAAATTTGTTCTCAGAGCCAATTGCATCAATGCAGTGAAACATTTCAATAGAGATATTCATGAAATAAGCACATGATTACAAAAGCTATAGCAATATGCAAGCACTTCAGAGAAAACTATCTGTTTTCATCAAGAGCAACTGTGTATAATTAAACTAAATCTCTTACATTACTGTAGTCGCTTTATATGTGTAAGGAAAGACTAGCTCTTCTTTCCTGGCTGGAAGAAGGTGCAATTCATTAGGCTCCCTGTGCAGTTACTCATGTTGTAGCTTTTCCTTAAAAGCATTCTGAAGTGTATGCACTCATTCTTCAAGGGAGGGATACAGGGAGTGCAGGATACTGGAGATACACCGTAAGTCTCGGAACATCTCGTTGGCTTAACATCCGCTAAATCCTCCTCGGAGAGCCAACACAAGATGGAGTACAGAACCACCTTGAACTTTGTAGTCGGCTGCAGTTTTCTCGTCATTCCTGAAATCGTACAAGTGTTAGATGGTCTGTAATTATTTTCTGAAATCTGTAGCAATAGTTGTATTATAATATGGTAGCCTTCAGTAATGTTAGCTTAAAGCCTTGACTAAAACACTCCACAATATTGGCTTGCATAAAAATACTTTGTTTAAATAAAAGAATTTTCATTCTAGTTAATTTTACAGTACATTCATTTGGTCACAAAAAGTGAGCAACACGTTAGGTTCCGGGCTACTGCTGTGAAGTGAAAATCATATACCTCCCTGGAGGGTTGCTGTAGCTCACAACAACATTTTCATAAGCATAAATTTCCTTGCACATTTGGACTTACATCTGTTTCCCAGAAAATATGAGTCGTTGCTGAGGTGGTGGTATGCCTTCTTTTTCCTCGACCCTTTCTTTAATCCTCTCAACTTTGTCTGTTGGCTCAATATCAATTTCAATCTAGAAAAGAAATTATATTATAATGGCTTAGAAAAAGGCAACAGTAAAAAAGGATTTGTATGTGTAATTTGATTTTAAATACTACTGTTGTGCTGAGTGTGTACATGTAATATGCTTTGAAAAAATCTCCAGCAACACTCACAAAAACACAGATATATGAACTAATACATCGGAAGAGAGATTCTGTTAAAAAAAAAGAAAAGTACAGGCAACGATAAAATGAAATTTGTCCTCATGAGAAAATCTCCCCATTGAGGGTTTAACAAGGAGAAGCACTTTCCCCGATAACATCTCTTAGTTAAATGATTTTGCAGAGATAATGGAAACTACTGTATATTAGCACTGTGTAAAATATGAAGGACAAGGTATAAAACCTGCCCTCAGTGATGCAGTAGATGGATGGGAAAATAACATGAATATCACATGTGTGAGACATTATTCATAGATTTAAGGGATTTTACCTAGAGTTTGCCATGGCCATGCTGATGTGAGATTCATCTGCATGACTAAATTTATGGTCACATGGTGGCTCGTGCCAACATTCCTAGTATACAGTGGTACCTCGAGTTTCGAACAGCTCCCAACTCGAACAATTATGTAAGTGCATTTTTTTAGTGTATTTTTGGAGGTTTGAAATGGACTAATCTAATTTACATTATTCTTATGGGAACAAATTCGTTCAGTATTGGCACTTGAACAGCCTTCTAGAATGAATTAAGTTCGTAACTCGAGGTACCACTGTATACATATAAAGATACACCCAGTTAACAGTCTTATTAGGCCATATAGTACAGTGGTTAACACACTGGCCTGCTAGTTTTAGGACTGGTTAACCGATAAGTAGATTCAACCCCTCATTCCGTTCGGTAGTTAGCAGTTTTCGTGTGAATATTACTAGATACACTGTATTTATCAGGGAAGTTCTAATCTTGAAGAGGTCATAGTGCTTGGGAACAGAAAGTAATGAGATTGGATCCCATGGAGGGAGGGTAGCCCCAATTCCTTGGATAAAAAACCCTTCCCCAATATGAAGGTATACCTCTTTAACTAAATTAGTAAAAAAAAAAACATGGTGGCTTCAGGCTGATAATGGTTAGTCTAAGAGATACTATATAGTATATATACATACCTGCAGGTTTAAGTAAGTACTGATCAAGACATTTATTGGTGATATGTTTAGCCATAAATGCCTTGTTCAGTCTTATTCTATGGTCTGAAGAAGCCATTTGTAGAAAAACATTCCCTTGGTAAATATGATCAGTGCATACTGGCCTTTTACTTGCAATCTGTCATTATCAATATACCAGTTCCACCAATACATACCTGGGACTGGTTTTGAGGGTTTTTAGACCCCCCTCACAGCCCAGCCAGAGGCTTAGTGAGTGCTTTTTCAACCAGGTTGTTGCTGTTAGCATCCTACTAAGTCGTCATAGCCTGGCTGGTTTGACACTGGACAGAGGTACTGGTCGACAGGAATTATAAATGCCACGTTTTCAGAAACTAACTTACCTCTTTCCCGGTTAGTGTCTGGAAAAAATAAAATAAAATAAATACACTTGGAAATACATTACTTATACAATATATATTTATTTATTTATACTGCATCTGATACACTTACATTGTAATATAATAATTCATGTGAAGCGCTAAACCCACAGGGGTCATTCAGTGTGAAACACCTTAAATATCTCATATAAGACTTTCATTACAACCTCTCCTCACTTAACGACGTATGAACTCGTTTACTGACGACTCGGAGTTACAACCGGCTCTCTGACCAGTATACATACCTAAATAATGTATATTTGAGCTGATTTCCTCTATTCTGTTTATTACAATATACAATACACTACTGTATAAACCACCAGGTCCAGTCCATGACCAGGCCTGGTGGCAGATCAGGGCCTGATCAACCAGGTGTACGGTTGGCTGCATGTAACAGTACGAACCACGCCGTGTCAGGTAACTGGACTGTCTGTCACCCCTAAGGAAACTCTAAAACCCACAGAGCTGTGTAAAGCCTCGAATGAAGGTATCGGGTTTGACCCAATTATAAATATATCATACGAAAGTGCTAAACCCACAGGGTATACAAAGGGCCTTCGGATGAGTAACAGTTATCGGAAGGTGAGTCAGTCCACTCTTGGGTTTATCTGGAGAGTTATCTGGTAGAAGTCCGGTCAACCACGCCCCCGGACCGACGTCTGTACCAGCCTCCTTAGGTCTATAGTCCCCAGGATGCGACCCAACCGTCGACTAAAACCAGGTACCCATTTTAACTGATGGAACATAGACAAAGGTGAAAGAAACCCACAATGTTATCAACTTGGACTGAGAATCGAACCCAGGCCTCACCGTGGGAAGGTGAGAGCGTTAACCCCAGAGCCCAAGAGCCTTTCACCATCAAGTCCCTCCCCTTGATTGGCTAATATTTATTTTATGTTGAAGCGCTAAACCCACAGGGGTCAAACAAAACCTGTCGAATGAGAGGTGATCAAGTTTGATCCGAGGAAGGGGAGGTTGCATCCACTTCCTCAGATGAAGATTATAATCAAAATTAAGAACCAAACCTACCAGGGTCATACAGCGCTGCCTTGGATCAAGAGCCTTTTACTTCAGGCTTCTCCCCATGAAAGGCCAATAAGTTTATTTAGGCTGAAGAGCTAAACCCGTAAGTCATACAATGCCTGGATAATGGGGGATGATCAAGTTCGATCCGAGGAAGGGGAGGAAGTCCATTATTATTATAATCAAGGGGAAGCGCTAAACCCGTAGGATTATACAGCACCTGTGGGGGGGATGCGGAAAGTATTGAAGCTTAATACAGGGAACTGAATCACAGATCCAATTCCCTAGATCAAGAGCCCCTCACCAGCGTCAAGGAACCTCCCTTGAGGGGGGGGAGGAAGTCCAGGTCCTCTCCCTTGGATCAAGATCCCCCACAGCACCGGCCTAGTCATGCTCAACACATCTCAACACATCATCACAACACTAAACACCTCGATGCTGCACAACAGTCACTCACACCCATTAACATGTCTCACATATACATTACCTTCACTTTGATCAGCATTTTGATGGATTTTGAAGAACCTTGATAGACTTTGATAGATTTTTCAGTGTTGTGCTGCTGAGAGTGACGGGAAGGCGACTACTTCCAGTTTGTATAACATAACGTTAATTCACATTATATCTCAAATTATAAAACGTTTTCCTCATTATTTACCAAATAAACAATGGTATAATATTTAATTTACTTACATGTTACTTTTATTTCAAAATTTATAAGTAGTTTTTCATATTTTAATTTTTCGTTTTAACAACCCAGAAAAATTATAAATCTTTTTGATTCATTCTCTTTTTTTCGTTTTTGACCAAAATGATTCTTGTTTATTATTAAGTTTATTTAGGTACAGGTAAACTTAAGTACAATTATCATACATAGTATAACTTACCCACCAGGATAACCCAAAAAAGCCAAGGTGATTTATATACATTGTCGTCCTTATATTTCCATTGTCGTCCTTGTATTTCCATTGTCGTCCTTGTATTTCCATTGTCGTCCTTGTATTTCCATTGTCGTCCTTGTATTTCCATTGTGACCCTTGTATTTCCATTGTGGTCCTTGTATTTTCATTGTCGTTCTTGTATTTCCATTATGGCTCTTGTATTTCCACTGTGGTTCTTGTATTTCCATTATGGTCCTTGTATTTCCACTGTGGTCCTGCATTCCCATTGGGGTCTTGTATTTCCACTGTGGTCCTTGTATTTCCATTGTGGTCCTTGTATTTCCACTGGGGTTTTGTATTTCCATTGGGGTCTTGTATTTCCATTGGTAAGTAAGTAAGTAAGTAAGTAAGTAAGTTTATTCAGGTATACACAAACATAGTTACATAGAATTATCATACATAGCAGCATATGTGTAGAGAACCTGGGATAACCCAAAAAAGTCAGAAGAGTGACTTATTTCCATTGGGGTCCTTTTACCTTATTATTATAATATGAAGGTTATAATATTTTCTTATTATTCTACAATGAAGAATAACATCTTATTATCATACTAAAAAGGACTATCTAAATACATCAAGGTCATTAAGACTAAAAATACAGGGTCATTAAATAGGAATAAGGTAAAATTTACACGTATGTTAGCTAAAAAATAGAAAATCAAATTCCCCTCCCTTTCTGTAGCTACATTCTCAGACACTTTGGCACTCTTCTTGAACTGGTTCAGCTATGACTGGCTTTGACATGTGCGGTAGTCTGTTCCATTCCTTTATTGCTGTACAATAAAAGGTGTTTGAAGCCTGGCCACTGACTGTGGGTACTACAAAGTTGTGCTCTCTCCCCCTAGTACTATGATTGCTTTGGTTCCCAACCTTGACAAAATTGACAGCAAGATATTCTGGACATTGTTTGTGAGCAATTTTATAAACATGATTTAGCTTCAGTTGTTTTACTCTGTCTTCAACATTCAGCATATCCAACTGCTGTAATTCATCCTGGCCTACATGTTCTCTGGGGTCCTTATATTTCCATTGGGATCTTGTATTTCCATTGTGGTCCTTGTATTTTCACTGGGGTCCTTGCATTTCCACTGGGGTCCTTGTATTTCCACTGGGGTTTTGTATTTCCATTGTGGTCCTTGCATTTCCATTGGGGTCTTGTATTTCCATTGTGGTCCTTGTATTTCCATTGTGGTCCTTGTATTTCTATTGTGGTCCTTACATTTCCACTGGGGTTTTGTATTTCCATTGCGGTCTTGTATTCCCATTGTCGTCCTTGTATTTCCATTATGGTTCTTGTATTTCCACTGTGGTCCTTGTATTTCCATTATGGTTCTTGTATTTCCACTGTGGTCCTTGTATTTCCATTATGGTTCTTGTATTTCCACTGTGGTCCTTGTATTTCCATTATGGTTCTTGTATTTCCACTGTGGTCCTTGTATTTCCATTGTAATAATTGCAATTATTATTATACATTGGGAAGCTCTAAACACACAAGGGGTTAAACACCACTTTATGAATCAATAAATTAGCACCAACAAATATTTTCATTAAGATTAATATAACCTTCCTGTAAATAAGTCTATTTAATAGGTGGACATGAGTACAATTATAAGTACTAGTGTAATTATCCAGCAGTGATAACCATATCAATGTAAAATGGAAATTAGTACCTAATGAAATCTAGGAACCTAAATGACATCAAGGAACCCTAAGGAATTAGGAACCCTAAATGAAATGAACCAAATGGAAATTAGAACCCAAATGGAAATCTAGAACCCTAAATTGGAAATTAGAACCCTAAATGGAAATCTAGAAGCTAAATGAATCTAGACCCTAAATGGATCTAGGAACCCTAATGGAAACTGAGAACCTAATGGAAAGTCTAGGAACCTAAATGGAAATCAGGAACCCTAAATGGAATTAGGAACCCAAATGGAAATCAGGAACTAATGGAAATCAAGGAACCCAAATGGAAATAAAGGATCCCAATGGGAATTAAGGACTTACTTATTCACTCACTTACTTACTTACTGACTTACGTACATACTTTACTTACTTATGGACAACAATAGATAAATAAGTCTGACTTTTTTGGGTTATCCAGGTGGGTAATTTACACACAAGTTACCATGTATAATTTATGTAACAGTATTTATGTGTACTTAAATAACATATTTACTGAAATATGACTAATTTTATTGTTTTATAACAAGAATACATTACATAGTCTGCCTAAAATACAGAGTGTACTAGTGGCTTTATTTTGTACCTAACAATGCTTTATTACAGGTAAACTACATTACTATGTACTACAGGAAGGAAATAGAACTATTTCTATTATTTCTATCATAAAATAAAGTTGTATTTTATTAAAATAGATGAATAATGTGGTAGTTGTGGTGTAAGCGACCTCGGAGCCTCGCTAACCAAAACAAGAGAAGCGCCGCTCAAATTTTCTCTCTTAATTCCTTAATTCTGTGAAAATTCTGGAGTTTTATCTGTCGGGGTAATATGAACCCGCTAACGTAAGTTACCGGGAGTAACGAGTAACGTGACATAACTGTGTGTGAGTAATATAAGATGAGAGAGCGTCCATAGAATGATCCACCCGGGGGGGGTGTAAGGGGGGGTTCTGTGTTGGTTTGTCTATATTGCTATTTTTGGCTGGTTGTGGGTTGGGTTCTGGCTCTTGGTCCCGTCGGGGTGACCAGCTGTGGCTGGGTTCTCTCGCTGTTGGTTTGGTGCACCCCTAACATACCTGTTCTTGAAGCTGTGTGTGGAGTCTGCCACCCCCGCTGTCTCGTTTAAGCCTTATTTGGGATTTATTTGCCAGGATAAAGCTTTATTCTCGTGTGTCCAAGCTTGTGATAAGGTTAAAGCTGATACTGGTTGCTCAGGACTGTCAGTCTTCTTAGACATAAGGTCAGGCTGATTCTGGGTGCTCATGACTGTCATCATAGACACAAGGTCAAGCTGATTCTGGGTGCTCAAGACTGTCAGTCATCATAGACACAAGGTCAAGCTGATTCTGGGTGCTCAAGACTGTCAGTCATCATAGACATAAGGTCAGGCTGATTCTGGGTGCTCATGACTGTCATCTCTGTATAGTCCTTGTGGCTTAGCGCTTCTTTTTGATTATAATAATAATCATGACTGTCAGTCATCATAGACATAAGGTCAGGCTGATTCTGGGTGCTCATGACTGTCAGTCATCATAGACATAAGGTCAGGCTGATTCTGGGTGCTCATGACTGTCAGTCATCATAGACATAAGGTCAGGCTGATTCTGGGTGCTCATGACTGTCAGTCATCATAGACACAAGGTCAGGCTGATTCTGGGTGCTCATGACTGTCAGTCATCATAGACATAAGGTCAGGCTGATTCTGGGTGCTCATGACTGTCAGTCATCATAGACACAAGGTCAGGCTGATTCTGGGTGCTCATGACTGTCAGTCATCATAGACACAAGGTCAAGCTGATTCTGGGTGCTCAAGACTGTCAGTCATCATAGACATAAGGTTAGGCTGAATCTGGGTGCTCAGAACTGTCAGTCTTCATGGACACAAGGTCAGGCTGATTCTGGGTGCTCAAGACTCAGTCATCATAGACATAAGGTCAGGCTGATTCTGGGTGCTCAAGACTGTCAGTCTTCTTAGACACAAGGTTAGGCTGAATCTGGGTGCTCAGAACTGTCAGTCTTCATGGACACAAGGTCAGGCTGATTCTGGGTGCTCAAGACTCAGTCATCATAGACATAAGGTCAGGCTGATTCTGGGTGCTCAAGACTGTCAGTCTTCTTAGACACAAGGTTAGGCTGAATCTGGGTGCTCAGAACTGTCAGTCTTCATGGACACAAGGTCAGGCTGATTCTGGGTGCTCAAGACTCAGTCATCATAGACATAAGGTCAGGCTGATTCTGGGTGCTCAGGACGGTGTCAGTCATCATAGACACAAGGTCAGGCTGATTCTGTGTGCTCAAGACTGTCAATCATCATAGACATAAGGTCAGGCTGATTCTGGGTGCTCAGGACAGTGTCAGTCATCATAGACACAAGGTCAGGTGACTGTGAGAGGTCAGGATAATGTCAGTCATCATTCTGTCGAAGTCAGACCTAAACGTTGTTGTAAGCTCCTCTCTCCTATGTGTGGGTTATTTGTGTATTATACTACTAAGTATTTCCCTGGACCCATTATGTACCTCTGATCAGGTGTAGATGTGTGGATGGTTCATTACCTTTGTAACTTGTTCAGCTATCAAAACTTTGCAGCCCAGTCCCTGGACCCATTATGTACCTCTGTAATCTTTTTTGACTACCAGTTTAGCGTGCGGCCAGCAGTAACAGCCTGGTTGATCAGACCCTGATCCACCATGAGGCCTGGTCTCAGACCAGGCCGTGGGGGCGTTGACCCCCGAAACCCTCTCCAGGTATACCGCCCACAGGATGGGTATGTGGTGCATAATAAACATATTGAACTAAAAACTACTAAGTATGGTGGTTCCTAATTGACTTATTTTTCATCCACACAAAGACATACGTACTGTACAAGCAGAGCTAGACATTAATCTAAATTGCATTTCATCATTTTCATGAAATCTGCTAAGAATCTAAAGTATGATGAGTTAGACACTTATGCAACACTCGGGCATCTTCATTGTGGAAAAGTTTTGCCAACTATCGGCTTCCTCAGTCCAGTACAGAGAAGAATGGTTGAAGATCAGCTACAGGCTGAGGGACTGGTTACCTTATACTCCTGATCTTCAACCATTTTTCTCTGTATCGGACTGACGAAGCTACTGGTAATCAAAATATTTCCACAGTAAAGATACCCAAGTGTGTAATTCATCATTCTGTCGGTTTTTTGAACAGTTTGTCTGCAACCTAAAGTACGTATATACATACAGAGACTTTCATGGCACTAATAATGTACATTATATTCTGTAATTGATGAGAATGGTGTGTTGTTTCATGTTCTTATACAGCACTAGCAAATACTGCACCTAGTCAGACCTCTTTAACTATTCATTGAAACATTGCTTATCTTGGATTATCTAATCTGTACAGATTTGTTTATAATAAAGAAATATATTCTACCAAATTAGAGAGCTTAGTTTCTAATCATTCACTACACTGTATTGTATTTTGTGAGATGTACAAGTATTGTATACTTGGTGAAAGTTATAATTCTTCTACTGCTACTATAACCAGAGCTTTGACAAGTTGGGTAAGGTTGAAGGATAGGTAAGGATGGTATATGGAGGAAAGGTGGGTTGGGGTGAGGAGTTTGTCAGGAAACACTTGGCCTGTTTCCTGACCAACCTTACCTAACCTGAAATATTAATGTTATAATTCTTTTATCACAGAATTTTTTTTTTTTTTTTGAAGATAAGGAATACATTTAAGGATTTAGAATATGATTCCTCCTGTAGAAAGTGAAATAAAGATTTTTATTAACAGCACAGCATATCAGTATGATATACTTTTCTGTATTAATGTTTAAACTTACCAAGTACGTACTGTATATTGATATACAGCAGTACGGATACTACACAAAATTTTCTGAAGATTTTTGTCTTTGTTTTTTCAGAAATGTGAAGAACATCCAAAAGCTGAATCAAAGAGAACTGGATCTTGGAGTTACCCTTAAAAACTCATGGCATCAGCAGTACCGTGACAGCGCTTGGGTCTTCCTCGGTGGTCTGAACTATGAACTCACTGAGGGCGACATAATCTGTGTTTTTTCTCAGTATGGAGAGGTATGAGAGAATTATAAATAATGCACAGGAATATCACCTAACATAAGAACATAAGAATGGAAGAACATGCAGTAGGCCTACTGACCCAAACTAAGCAGGTCCTTCTCTAAACCAACCATTCCCACCCACCCACTTGTCCAAACTTTTCTCAAATCTTCCCAAGAATTAGTTACAATACCTCAGATGCTGGTTTAGAAAAACATGTAAGCACACACTAGGACATATTTATTATAAAATGTTTTGGTCCTGGGACCTTGATCACTCAATTCCAAGGAACTGAGTCTATTCTCCCCTTCTTCACTTCAGGTTTGATTACCTTATATTTCTCAGACTTTGTAAGATCCTCACAGCTTTAGGGCAACCCAGGGATAAAATAATTCTGATTAATATTTTTATGTACCTATTTTACACTTACAGTACCTTGCTGGATGATGGGTAGATTTGGGACTAGGCCCTAAAGTATCTTACATTTACAGTATATTATCTGGTATCTCTCTTTGTTCAATAGAGTTCAGTGCAATATACAGTGGTCCCCCGGTATACGATATTAATCTGTTCTTGAGAGCTCATCGTATGCCAAAATTATCGAAAGGCGAATTAATTTTCCCCATAAGAAATAATGGAAATCAAATTAATCTGTGCAAGACACCCAAAAGTATAAAAAAAAAATTTTTGCTGCATGAAATATTAAGTTTAATGCACACAAACTGAAGAAGACATGCACAGTTTGTAGTACTCTACTAACAATAGAATACATGACACTTACCTTTAATGAAGATCTGGTGATGATTGATGAGATGGGAGGAGGGGAGAGTGTCGAACTTATTGTTTAGAAGTGGAATCCCCTTCCATTACGACTTGAGGTAGCAAGTCCTATTCCGGAGTTACTTCCCTTCTTCTTTTAATGCCACTAGGACCAGCTTGAGAGTCACTGGACTTCTGTCGCACAACATATCTGTCCATAGAGGCCTGTACCTCTCGTTCCTTTATGACTTTTCTAAAGTGGTTCACAACATTGTCATTGTAATAGTCACCAGCACGGCTTGCAATAGCTGTGTGAGGGTGATTGTCATCCATAAAGGTTTTCACCTATGTCCACATTGTACACATTTCTTTAATCTGTGAAGTAGGCAACTTCTTCAATTTCTCTATTCCCTCCTCTGAAGCAGTTTCCTTAGGTCTGGCCTCTTGCTGTTGAAGGTGATCTAGCAGCTCATCAGTGGTTAGTTCATCATTGTCCTCCTCCACCAACTCTTCCACATCCTCCCCACTAACCTCCAACCCCAAGGACTTCCCCAGTGCCACAATGGTTTCCTCAACTGGCATATGATTCCCAGGGTTAGCCTCAAACCCTTCAAAATCCCTTTTGTCTACACATTCTGGCCACAGTTTTTTCCAAGCAGAGTTCAAGGTCCTCTTAGTCACTCCCTCCCAAGCCTTACCTATAAGGTTTACAAAATTGAGGATATTAAAGTGATCCTTCCAAAACTCTTTTAGAGTCAATTGAGTGTCTGTGGTCACTTCAAAGCACTTTTGAAACATAGCTTTTGTGTACAGTTTCTTGAAGTTGGAAATGACCTGCTGGTCCATGGGCTGCAGGAGAGGAGTGGTATTAGGAGGCAAAAACTTGACCTTAATAAAGCTCATGTCCCCAGAAAGCCGCTCTGCCAAGTCTGTAGGATGACCAGGGGCATTGTCTAATACCAGGAGGCACTGAAGGCCTAATTTCTTTTCAATTAGGTAATTTTTCACATTGGGGGCAAATGCATGGTGTAACCAGCCATAGAAAAAGTCCCTAGTGACCCATGCCTTACTGTTTGCCCTCCACAGCACACACAAATTAGCCTTGAGGACATTCTTTTGTCTGAACGCTCTGGGAGTTTCTGAGTGATACATCAATAAAGGCTTCATTATGCAATCACCACTAGCATTTGCACACTTCAGAAGAGTAAGCCTGTCTTTCATAGGCTTATGTCCTGGGAGTGCCTTTTCCTCCTGAGTAATGTAGGTCCTGCTTGGCAATTTCTTCCAAAACAGGCCTGTTTCGTCACAATTAAACACTTGTTCAGGTTTCAATTCTTCACTGTCTATGTAATCCTTGAATTCCTTCACATATTTTTCAGCTGCTTTTTGGTCCGAACTGGCAGCTTCACCATGCCTAATCACTATGTATGCCACTACGATTCTTAAATCCTTCAAACCAACCCTTGCTGGCCTTAAATTCACTCACATCTCCACTAGTTGCAGGCATTTTTTCAATTAAATCCTCATGCAACTTCCTAGCCTTTTCACAAATGATCGCTTGAGAGATGCTATCTCCTGCTATCTGTTTTTCATTTATCCACACCAATAACAGTCTCTCAACATTTTCTAACACTTGCGGTCTCTGTTTCGAAAACAAAGTTGCACCTCTTGCAACAGCAGCTTCCTTGATTGCCGTTTTCCTGGCCACTATAGTAGCGATGGTTGATTGGGGTTTTGTATACAACCTGGCTAACTCCGACACACGCACTCCACTTTCGTACTTTGCAATTATCTCTTTCTTCATTTCAATAGCCATTAGCACCCTTTTTCTCGAAGGGTTGGCACTAGAAGCCTTCTTGGGGCCCATGGTGACTTATTTTGCAGAAACAAGCACCAGAAACACTGTGATAATATGGAATGTACCGAATGTATGCTTAGATGCAAGCACACTGGCTGGCTTGTAAACACTGGCATGCACGGGGCAGTTCAGGCCACATATGGACACGTCTCGGACGAATCGCGTGTGGCGGGTTTTTTAATGAGTGGCTAGGCAAAACTTTTGCGTTAAAATGTATCGAATACCAGATTTATCAGATACTGATGCCATTGAATACCGGGGGTCCACTGTACTTAGCCAGACTTGCATTCTGGAGGTGAGAAGTACAGTGCCTTCCTTGAAGGATCATGAGGATGTTGAGGTTTAGAGCCGTTTGTGCAGAGCTGTATGACCCTTGTGGGTTTAATGCTTAGTCTTAATTATAATAATAATAATGTAAATGAATGGTTCAGAGAACCGACAAGTTGAAAAATAAGACACGTGCATCATTTGGGCTTCATCAGTCCATACAAAGGAGAATGGTATTCTTTTCAAGATTGATGGACTGATCACATCGACTCAAGGCTGAGGGATTGATTACCTCAAACTCCTTCTGTTTTTCTCCTTTATATGGACTGATGAAGCCACTGTGTGGCAAAATGTTTTCTTATTAAAGATACCCAAATGTTGCACATGTGTCTAATTTATCAATAATAATAATAATTAGAGCCATTTGTGATGTCTGTGCAGTGTGCACTTTTTGCAAGACAGCAATGACTGAGTGATGGTGAATGTGTTTCCTTTGGTGGGAAATTGCTGATGTAGTAAGAGCAATTCCTAGTTATAGATTGTAATGTGTGAAATAATTTTTCACGTTTTTTTAAATACTTTTCTTTTACAGATTGTCAACATTAACTTAGTGCGAGACAAGAAGACAGGAAAGAGTAAAGGCTTTGCCTTTTTATGTTATGAAGATCAACGCTCCACCATTCTTGCTGTGGATAACCTAAATGGCATTAAAGTAAGTATCACCCATTGGCAGTAAAAAGTAGTAGGTTTAGAGACCCCTTAAGGGAGATGCAGAAGCCTGGTAAATATTTTGTACTGGCAGGGTTACTATCTTTCTGTCTCAGTTACCTAGACAGTAACCATCCTGGGAAATACTAGTCTTTTCATATAAGTGAACCAGAATCCTATTAGGATTGGGATTAGTCTGCCTGAAATGCCTCGGCATGATAGTGGCTATCTTTGTACCTAACACGTCAAAAATGTAATTACGCATTGTAACCTCTGTGAAGAAATAAATCTTTGTCTTGTCTATTAAATATTTTGTGCTGGTGGGATTGATTGCCTTTTCTTGATCTCCTGACACCTAAGCAAACTTCTGCTTATATTCTGTACAGTACTGTATATGCCTTTCCCTTCAGGGAAGAGGGTGCCTAGATGTTTGTGAAAAATTTCAATCTCTCTTCTATAGGATGCTACAACAGTTATGAGCCCCATCATTTCTACTCATATGCTTCCTTGACTCCACCTCTTATCCTATGCCATCTGTTTTACTCCTACATGTTTGACAGTGAAATGATGTTTGATCCCTGGAAAAGTTGGGCATCTTTCCTTACACCTGTTGCCCATGTTCACCTAACAGTAAGTAGGTATCTGGGTGTTAGTCGAATGTTGTGGGTTGCACTTCAGAGAGCATTAGTTGACCCTTGATTAAGCTTGGCTTGGAAATGAAGTGAGGTAGGATAACTGCTCTTAGCTTGTAAATGAGCTGAGGAAGGATATCAGCTCTTAGCTTGTAAATGAGCTGAGGAAGGATAACAGCTCTTAGCTTGTAAATGAGCTGAGGTAGGATAACAGCTCTTAGCTTGCAAATGAGCTGAGGAAGGATATCAGCTCTTAGCTTGTAAATGAGCTGAGGTAGGATAACAGCTCTTAGCTTGCAAATGAGCTGAGGTACGATAAAGCTCTAATCCTGTAAGCTCAGCTGTATCAAAACAATGGTGCCACAAAATAATCTTGGACTATCTCTTGCATTTCCTTAATGCGTTGACCTGGTTAATTTATAATACAAGTGCTCATATATCAGTAACTCCTTCAATATCAGTTTTTCAATTACCTCTTATTTGTAATAGCTGGCAAATCGTACCATCAGAGTGGATCACGTTGAAGAGTACAAAGTGCCCAAAATGACGGAGGATATGATGCCAGAACAGCAAAAATTGGCCATGGAGGGTTGTGCTCCACAAGCTGCCCCATTGACACCAGAAAATCATGATGGGGATTTACCAGTGAAGGAAGGTAAATAATCATTTATTCAGTGTATGAAAACACACAAGTTAATGACCATTGTCACATAATAACCGAGGTTTTTAGGTAGTGCTAGATGTTGAAAGACAGATGGGAAATCAGACACACAAACACAGTAGGCTTTCTGTTTAATGACATTTTTGCCCCTTATTGAACTTTCTCAAGTACCATCCTAGACTAAGTTCTTAAGTTACACTTGCCTTCCATTTTGAATGCATCATCACAAAAAGTGAAGATTTACTCTATTTATCAGATAGTAAAATATAACCAGAAAGGATTTATCATGGTTTATGGTGTCCCATCACTTAAATCAGGCCTAATATAAACCCATAAAACAGACTGTGAGGGGGTGTTTACATACAGTACATAAAATTTACGAAGCCTTCCTCCATAAGCCATATGTGTTGTAAGAGACAACTAAAATGCCTTGAGCAAGGGGCTAGTAACCTCTTCTCATGTATAAATTACTAAACATAAAAAGAAAAACTTGTTTTTCTTATTATGGTATATTAATTATTTGCTACACAAAAAAAAATTTGTGTAGTAACTAATTAATAAACCTTCCATGTTTTGAATGAGTTACTTTCTCTTTTCAGAAAAATCTATTAAAAAAGAAAAAGTAGAGAAAGTAAAAGTCAAGAAAGAAAAGAAAAAGAAGAAAAAGAAAAGGAAAATCTCCTCCTCTTCAGGCAGTGTTTCTTCATCTGATGATTCCGACGATAACGAGGAGAAGAGGAAGAAAAAGAAGAAAAAGAAGAAGAAGAAGAAGAAAAGGAAGAAGGTAAGAGAGGTATCAGATTCCCAGAGCAGCAGTGAAGATTCCAACCGGGAGGAAGAAGAACGGAAGGCAAAGAGAAGCAAGGAGAAGTCAGATGATGGAGTGGCGATCAAGGAAGAAAAGCAAGATCCAGGCTATGATAAATATGAGCACGGAATTCAGGAAGAGGAGTATAGGTTTAAGAGTAGAGAAGCAGATAAAGGACCAGAGAGGTATAGAGAGTTTCAGAGAGAGAGGGGACAAGAGAGATATCGAGAACAAGACAGACACAGAGAGACGGAGCGATACAGAGAGCACGAAAGATATCGGGATAACTTCATGAGGGACAGTAGAGAGAGAGAGAGAAAACACGATAGGTACAAAGATAACGTCAAGAGGGATGATAGTTATGGATCGAGTTACCGGGACGACCGCGACAGGATACGAGAACACAGTCACTGGGCCGGTGGATCGGATGGGCGGTACCGAGGCCGTGGTAGAGGACGGTACTTCGATGGGGACAGAGGGCGTGGGAGATTTTATAATGCTAACTTCAATAGGCGAGGGAACTTTGGCCGAGGCAGGGGCGGGTTTAGATTTAGAGGAAGAAGGTAGAAAAAATGATTTGTGTTCATGCAGTGCATAAATAAATAATCAAGGAAAAATATATACGTATATATAAAAAATAATATGCATTTAAATAACCCACATTCAGCAGTACAGACTAAAGATCCTGCTCAGGCTATACTAAACTAGCTGGGAGGGAGCCCTAAGAAAACACTACAAACACACAAGAAAACACTACAAAACACTGCAAAAAATTACAAAACACAAGGAAACATTAAATTAACATTAAAAACACTTCATAAACCCTACAAAAATGCTGCGGACATGTCAGGTACATACAAAAGAAAAAACTATAGCAAGCCTACTGACCCACACCAAGCAAGTCCTCACTCATATTTGTCCAGTCTATTTTTTAAAGCTACCCAAACTGTTAGCCACACTGACTATGCTAAACAAGTATTTTTCCACATTTTTTTATATCCAAGTAAATTAATCATGAGGGATAGACGATCTAACATTTGTGGTGGCCATGGACTTACTTATTTGTTGATCAGTCATCTTCCTTAGTAGTTGTCAGAGTTAAGACAAAACATATTCATTAAAAGCTCTGTATTCTTTTTCATATCATTGAATTCAAGAACATTGTTAATTGCTGATTCTTTAATTTCCCTCTGCTGTATGTTGCTGCATCTCATCACTATTTTAGTATTATTGAAATTAGTGTTGATTCTTGTATTTATTTATTGAAGTACAGCATTATTATTGTTTGCTTTGTAAGGAGTGTTGATGTCCAAAGTCATTTGTTCCCCAATGTAACACTTTCCAGTCATTTTATGCAATTTTGTTAATGCCAGCATTCATCTGGGTTCACATCATTATGAGAGAAAAATTTATTTGCAGTTTTAAATCCATGTAGGTAACGAGGAATTTTTTGTTATCTTTAGCTGCCAAAGCTGTATGACCAGTGTGAGTTTAGCACTTTGTTTTGATTATAATAACAATTTAGCTGCCAAAGAGCTACCAACCTCTGGCCAAGATTTATAGTGGACCCTTGGCACTCAAACTTAATTGGTTCCAGAAGGCTGTTTGTGTGTCGATATGTTCGAGTACAGAACAAATTTTTCCCAACCAATTTTCTTTTTGGTTGGCTGTTATCACTAACCCTCTTAGGCCCCATAGTCACTTGTTTATACCAATAATATAAAAATAACACCAAAAAATGTAAAGAAACATGAAATAGTTTACAGCGAAGTTCTTGCAGGTCGTGTTTGTTTGGTCCAGTGCCGAGCAAACGGTCGACTGCCAAGCAATTTGTTTACTGGACAAAGCATTCAAATGCTGAATTGTTAGAGTATGGAGCTGTTCGAGTACCGAGGTTCCACTGTATATGCCTGTCAGCATTGGCTGACCTGCATGGTCAAACTGCTCTGTAAATGTCACAAAATTCCATTTGTCCATTGTGAAAGTATTAGTACATTAAGGAAACAAATGATTTTCAAGGTTGACTTTATCACCATAGTTTCTCTGAATGCCTGTATGCACAGGAATCACTAATAATAATGCTGTAATGCTGTATTTCGGTACATAAATACAGAGAATCATTAAGTTAATTTTGGTGATACCCCAACATACAGTAGAGGAATATTGAGAGCGATGATAATTAACATAGTTGATTTTAAGAATGTTGACCCTCTATTGAATATGTTTGTATATTTAAGGGATGCCTCACAGCTAGTTTAGTATCACCTAAGGAGGATTTCTAGTTAGGTCAGAAAAGTTTCCATTATTTTTATACTGTTGATTGTGGGTTATTCAGATGTATTACCCATACGATCAGTGTATGGTTCACTATACGTATATGTATATGTGTGTGTCTGCGTGTGCGTGTGTGTATACAGTATATACATGCAATAAAGTGTGAAATCCAAGAGTGTACTTCAGCTAGAATGAGCAGAGTTGATCATGTACTTTCACAGATGGCATAGGGGAGTTTTGGAAATGTTTGTCTTTTTGGCTCATTCCTACAAGAATACAAATCATAATTATAATCCATACACCTCCCTGTAATATTGAAGATTGCAGAACTTGCCTGGAGTTTTAGAACTCGCTTGCTGTGGGTTGACTCCCCACCTGTTCTGTGGTTTGATCGCAGAACTAATTATAAAATTGCACAACAAAATGTACGGATGTTAAAACAAGCAAATTTGTATGTTGACAGACTACATGATGAAGGAAGTTTGGCAGCACGCCTCTTACTTGATATTTATGTTGCTACATTTATCACTTCTAGGCCTTCCAAAAATGTTTAGCAGTGCAGTATTAATTATAAACATCCACATATGCTGTATGACCCTTGTGGGTTTAGCACATCCCCAGGAGTGTAGTAATATAAATGTGTACATTAAAAAAAGGAATAGATTTTTTTTTAATTTATGTTTACCCTCCTTCCCTCAGATGAGGAGATACATCACCTATTTTCTCCCTTTTTTTTCGTTCCTGTAATGCCAAATTTTATTTTTGTATAGCTCCTCATTTGATAATAAATCCCTATGAAACTTTCTTCTCTGCATTAACAATTGGAGTCATCAGCAGCTAAGAATTGTAAAGCTTTGTGTGTGTATTAAATGGTTCTAGACATGCTGCATAGTCCAATGATGTGGAGTGAACAGTATCAAGGTGAATAAGACATGTGCCATATTTAGGTACAGTACAGTATTTTTTGCCAAGATGTTTCACCTGCACAGCAGACTTCTTCAGTCAGATAGTCTTGGCAGAATGTGCCTGAGTGTTGCACATGACTTGTTCACCCACTTTGCCGGTATTGTATAGCATTAATTTAATAGTACAGTATCAGGGTGTAATGCACACTTGTAAATAAAACATGAATTTGTGTGCAGTTCATGTTAAGCACTAAGCCTGAGTGGGTAGTTCATGGAAAGGAGTTGTGGAGGCTTGGTCCATTTCCCAGGAGAGACTTCCTAATTGGACTCTCAGTGTGGGAAAGAAAATATTAGACTGCCAAGTAATACTGCATTGTGCTTGTCACAAAAGAAAATAAATTATGAGGAGGGGGAGGATTTGCCCCGTGTTTTCTTTCACAGTAGTACTTTGGAAAAATAGACACAATTGCAGTGTATAATGCGATCCTTTATTGACTATGGCTTACTCACAGTCAGTAAGGGATCGCATTGTACTGCATTTGTGTCTTTTTTTCCATCGTGTCAGTATTTTATACCATTTATCTCCACAATTAATACATTAATGGAAGGAGACCTGCCAGGGTACCTCCTATTGTACTCATTTGCAGATGTTCCCTCTTTATTGCTCTGGTGAAATTCATGTAATTCTATCTAACCATAAATGCTCTTTGTACAGTACTTCACTCCTTGTCATAAGTATAGTCCAATTCTTCACACACACCTCAATTGCTCCATGTTTTTTGTTTGCAATAGATATAACATGTTACCTGTAAATTATAAACATCAACTTTAGTGTCCATTGTCAACAAGCGCATCCCCTTTGTATACTCTTGTAAGCAGGCTTTGTAAGTACAACATAGAACAGTGTTTTGTGCATTATTATTATTATATATCCTGATAATCCTGTGCATCTTTTTCTCCTTCAAGGGGGTCTTGATGCTGGTAAAAGTCTCTTGATCAAAGAATCAGAGCTACTGTCTGTCTCTCCCAGATCAAACCTTATTACTTTCTATTCTCTCTGCACTATGTGACCCATGTGTGTTTAGCCTCCCCATGAATATAATTTATTTTCAATATACCAGCTGTCTCCCACCATGGCTGGATGACTCGAAAAAAGAAGAAAACTAGTACAAAGTTTATCTTCTTACATTTAGTAATTTATACAGGAGAAGGGGTTACTAGCTCCTTGCTCCCAGTATTGAATATAATAATATACATTTTGGGTTTGGGATATTGGCAATTTGAAGGGACTTCTAAACTGTCGTATCTGAGCACCTCTGCAAAGACAGTGATTATGTATGAGTGATGGTGAAAGTGTTGAATGATGATGAAAGCACTTTTCTTTCTTTTTAGGTGACCCTGACTCGGTGGGAAATGGCCGATGTGTTAAAAAAAAATCTTTTATTAATGACAGGCGTTCACCTCTGCTCAGATTTTACTGATTTTTATATTTATGTCAAGAAAAATATTTTAAGCTTAAAAGGAAATACAGTACAGTGGAACCTCAAAAATCGAATGTATCACATATTGAACGTTTCGAAAATAGGACCATTTTTTCGGACAAACTGTGTCCCTATTATCGAATGCGCCCCTATTTTCAGACTGCCGCGTACGGGACCTGTCTGCCACCCGCTCTGTCCGCGTCCCTGCGCAGGCGCCGTGAGCAGTCTAGCTTTGTTTATGCATGAGTGAACACTAACCTGCGCTCTCATTCACGCATTTTACGATTATTTCGTTGTGTTTAGTGCTTGTGGGACTGTGAAATAAGCTGCCATGGGCCCTAAGAAACTTGCTAGTGGTACCCCTGTGGTAAAGAAAGTGAGAAACACCATAGATGTGAAGGAGGAAATAATACAGAAGTATGAGAGTGGTGTAAGACTTGTTGAGCTTGCCAGGATGTATGGGAAAAACAAGTTGACCATCGGTTCTATCCTGTCAAAGAAAAAACAAATCAAGGAAGCTGATGTTGCAAAAGGTGTTAATATAGGGAGTGGATGAGGTGCCTTCGTCAAAGATTAAGGAGATTTGTGCCAAGTGGAATGATGTCCAAATGTTTGTGCAGAAGTACCACCCTGAGCAAGCTGAAACAAGCCATCTTTGCAACAAGTTCAGTGACAACCATGTCCCATTTTAGGGAAATGTTAAAGAGGCTCCAGAAACAGAGGACTGTGGACAGTTATTTTGTGAGACAGGGGTCCAGTGACTCTCAAGCTGGTCCTAGTGGCATTAAAAGACAGAGAAGGGAAGAAACCCCAGAGAGGGCTTTACCTGAAGTCCTCATGGAGGGGGATTCTCCTTCCAAACACTAACCCCAACTCCCTCTCTCCTCCTCCCTATCTTCCAGATGCCATCACCAATCTTCAATAAAGGTAAGTAAAAATGTTATTTTATATGTATTATATGTATTCTGAGCACCTCTGCAAAAACAGTGATAATGTGCGAGTGTGGTGAAAGTGTTGAATGATGATGAAAGTATTTTCTTTTTGGGGATTTTCTTTCTTTTTTGGGTCACCCTGCCTCGGTGGGAGACGGCCGACTTGTTGAAAAAAAAAAAAAAAAAAAAAAAAAAAAAAATTACTATACATAATTAAAAACTAAAATATTTGTTGTATGTAAAACTGTAATTTTTGTGTGAATATTTTTGGGTTTCTGGAATGGATTAATTGTATTTCCATTATTTCTTATGGGAAATATTGCTTCGAATTTCAGACTTTTCGAATTTAGAACTAGCTCCTGGAACGGATTAAGTTCGATTTTTAAGGTTCCACTGCACGTATACATTCAGCAATAATTTGAAACATGAACTTCTAGTAATTATCACAAATAAACTTTATACAAGAAAAAATTACACCAATGCTAAATTTGGAAACCTTATTTAACCTTGTCTAATTGAAGATAACTTGATTTACCATTGCATATATTTTAGCATGCAGCGCCACTCTATGAAGATCACCAGGTTGCCCGGACAGTCAAACGTACCCAGATCAGTTGCCCATCGGAAAGTCTGCTGGAGTGTTATTCTCTCCAGTCTGATTCGAGAGGTTGAAGGGTTGAATCCCATAAGGAGGATTGAGCCTCAATGTTTCACACTCATAAAAGAAGAGACTTCATTTCTGATGCATTCTTCAGTGCCCATATTGCTCTCTCATGGTTTCACCTCTGCTGACAAACACTTCGATATCCTGACTAACTTTGGTTTGTTTAATCAACTGTAACAATCATCCTTTCAACTAATATTCTTCCCTCAGCAGAGCCACTTATTCATTCCTCCCGTAAATTTCCATGCCACTTTTCATTCCTCTTTAAATTTCCATGTCATTTTTCCAGTACAGTATAATACAGTGTATTTTTTCCCCATGTATTCATAGTAACAGTGTCTAAGGAGTCAAGGGTGGGAAGAGAGCCTTCTGTATTTCTATCCTTGATGCCTACATGCCTAGATAATACATACAAGATAATCCTTAATCTAGGCAGTGGGTTGTTGCTTTCAGCAGATAACCTCAGTGTTGACTTCCGAGTCCTTTGCTGTCTATAAAATTTCAATGAATATAAAAATAATTTACCTAAGAATAATTTCTTTTTTCAATACCATAGTTTATCCTATGTGCCTTGATAATGAAGGGCTCTTGGTCTAAGGAAATGGAGCTAACCACCTCTTCCTTGGATTGAAGCTGATTGCCTCCCATTCCCCAGGTGGTGTATGACCCTGATGGGTTTAGTGCTCCATATGACTATAATTACAATAGTACAATTCAATGTTTGAGGGATAGTACAGAAAAAAACCTGTGAGTTTGATGTTTTACGTGATACTGGCAAAAGGCTTTCGAGCCAAGGACTTGATGCTACTCTTCCCTTCCTTGGATCAAACCTGAGCACCTCTCTTTTCCCTCTGATGGATTCCTTGATTCTATGGAAAGGCTCTTGATCCTAAGAACTTGAGCTAACCTTCCTTGGATCAAAACATACTAGTTTATGACACCTCAGAGAGGAGCCTTGATGCTGGTGAGGGCTCTTGATCCAAGGAATTTGAGCTATGCTTCCCCTCGGATCAAACCTCATAGCCTCCCAGGTGCTGTACAACCCCTCTGGGTGTAGTGCTCCCCATGAATGTAATGATCATAATTTATTAAAACTCATACTAAACTTATTACTAATTAAACTTATTAAACTGCCATGAGACCCTTGCAGGTTTAGTGCTTAACTTATATATTAAAAAAAATATGATGAGGACCACAATGGAAATAGTCATTTTGACTTTTTGGGTTATCCTGTACAGTGGACCCCCGCTTAACGATCACCTCCAAATGCGACCAATTATGTAAGTGTATTTATGTAAGTGCGTTTGTACGTGTATGTTTGGGGGTCTGAAATGGACTAATCTACTTCACAATATTCCTTATGGGAAAAAATTCGGTCAGTACTGGCACCTGAACATACTTCTGGAATGAAAAAAGTTCGTTAACCGGGGGTCCACTGTACTTAAATATACTGACTGACTTGCACCTTCTTTTTGATTATAATAATAATAATAACTGACTGCATACTGACTCAATACCCTCAAGGGATGTTCCTTGATGCTGGTGAGGGGCTCCTGATATAGGGAATTGGATCTGTGCTCCAGTTCCCTGAATTGAGCCTGAATACCTTCCCCTTCCCCCCACACATGCGCTGCATAATCCTATGGGTTTAGCACTCCCCCATGACTTGCTTACAGGCTGACTGACTTGCTTACTGATTGACTTGCTTGCTGACTCAATGACTGACTGACTTGCTAACTTACTAACCGACATGCTATTATTATTATTATTAAAGATTCGCCGGTATTCTCCCGGCCCGGGCCTTTTCCAAGTGGTGGCCCGGCCTTGGCTCCCTCTTTAGGGAGTGTCTGAGACCTAAGTCTCCCATGGGAGGAGGCACAATTACCTCCTCATCTTTGGGACCAACTGTCCCCAGGCCTAGTCACAAGCTAGGCCTCTCTGGTCTGCCATCCCCGCTTTAAGGGGGCAAATGGGAATGACAGTCTTATGAGCTAAAGGCTCGGGCTCAGGCACCTACCCTACCCTAGAAGGGCTGGGCATGGTGTCGATCCACTGACATGCTGATTTACTGACTAACATACTGACTTGCTTATTAATTGACTTGCTTACTGACTCAGTGGCTGACTGACTTGCTTGCTGACTCATTGACTGACTTGCTTACTGATTGACTGACTTGCTTACTGACTGGCTGACCTGCTTATTGACTGACTTACATACTGACTGACTTGCTTACAGACTCAATGACTGACTTACTGACTTGTTTACAGACTCAATGACTAACTGACTTGCTTACTGACTGACTGACTTGTTTGCTAGCTCAATGACTGACTGACTTGCTTACCGACTGACTGACTTGCTTACTGACTGACTGACTGACCTGCTTATTGACTGACTTGCATACTGACTGACTTGCCTACAGACTCAATGACTGACTTATTGACTTGCTTACTGACTCAGTTACTGACTGACGTGCTTGCAGATTCAATGACTGACTTGCTAACTTACTGACATATTGATTTACTGACTTGCTTATTGATTGACTGGCTTACTGACTCAATGACTGACTGACTTGTTTACTGACTCAATGACTGATTACTGGCTTACTGACTCAATGACTGACTGACTTGCTTACTGACTCAGTGACTGACTTGCTTACTGACTCAATGACTGACTTGCTTACTGACTCGATGACTGACTTGCTTACTGACTCAATGACTGACTGATTTTCTTAGTGACTTTCTTATTGACTGACTTGCTTACTGACTGATTTGCCTACTGACTGATTTGCCTACTGACTGACTTGCTTTCAGACTGGCTAAGTTGCTTACTGACTGACTTGCATACTGAGTGACTAACTTGCTTACTGACTCAGTGACTGACTTACTAGCTGACATACTGATTTACTGACATACTGACTTGCTTATTGATGGACTGGCTTATTGACTCAGTGACTGATTGACTTGCTCATTGACTGACACACAAATTTACTCATTGACAGGCATACTGACAGACTTATTCCCTGACAATATTTCAAAATTTGGCGGGTAAGTGACGTCACTATCCGGGACCTGGAACAGCTGATTCTCCAAAGTGTAAACAAGAGAGTGAATCAGGAGCCTCTGTTATGACTTTCTCCACACCTTGACACCTTTCTCCTCGTCCCACCTGCTTCGCCAGCACTTTCTACACTATGTGAAAGGTCAATAGAGAGCGGGGAGTGGGAGTAGAGAGGTCAGATGAGGTGTTAAATGGGAAAGTATGTGGGTATTACACCATGTCATGCTTGTTGATATGACGACTACTTCAAGGTCACTATTGCTGCTGAGGTGACACACTGACATCTTTCTCAGCTGGTTTGTGACCTTTGTGGGTCGTTGTGAGCTGCCTTGGTTATTGTGATGTGCTTCTAGTGGTTGCCTTGGTAATTGACACTTTTTTTTTGGGGGGGGGGTCGTTGTGCGTTTTCTCAGTTATTTTGATGTGATTTTCGTAGTTGGTGATTGAGATATTTCCTCAGTGATTTGTGACGTTTTTAGGTCATAGTGAAGTTTCTCAGTTATGGTGACGTGATTGTCGTAGTTGTCTTAGTAATTGAGACCTTTTTTCAGTGATTTGTGACCTTTTTAGGTCATAGTGAACTTTTTCAGTTATGGTGATGTGGCTGTATAGCCCTTGTGGCTTAGCGCGTCTTTTTGATTATAATAATAATAATAATATGGTGATGTGATTGTCATTGTTATCTTAGTCTTATGTAAAATTGTATGGTGGGGTTATCCCAAGTTATCATAAAATGTTATTTGTAGCTACAGAGGAACACTGCAGCAGGCCTACTGGACCATGCTAGGCAAGTCCTTCTCAAAACCAGCCATTTCTACCCATGTATATATGTCCAGCGTAGTTTCAAAGTTACTCAAAAAGTTTGGTTCATTACGTCAGGTCCTGTGATGAAAATGGCATATAATACTGACACGATAATTAGACACATGCAATATCTGGGTACTATCTCTACCAAACCTGCACACGAAAATCGCTTCCCATGAAAGCAAAAGACTCGTCAGGAGATGCAACATTTCCCCGATGAAAAGCAGGGGCGCCACAAGTACATTGAGAGACAACACAATAAGTGTCAGGGGCCCAAGACTGTTCAATTGCCTCCCAGCATACATAAGGGGGATTACCAATAGACCCCTGGCAGTCTTTAAGAAGGCACTGGACAGGCACCTAAAGTCAGTACCTGACCAACCGGGCTGTGGTTCATACATCAGCTTGCGTGCGGCCAGCAGTAACAGCCAGGTTGATTAGACCCTGATCCACCATGAGGCCTGGTCTCAGACTGAGCCGTGGGGGCATTGACCCCTGAAACCCTCTCCAGGTAAACTCCAGGTAGATATTTCACCAACCAGTGGACATAATTTGGAATAGTTCTATATAGCTTTGTAGTTCTACCGTCTTCCAGTTACGTCCTTGAATTTTTGTTGATAAAGCCACTGGATGACGAAATGTCTACAGTAGAGATAGCCCAGATGTTTCACGGGTGTCTGATATTCAACACTAAAGATACCCAAGTGTTGGGCATGGGTGTTACAAGTCATCTTTGGCTCCTAATCAAACCCAGCTCTTCTCACTCGTATATTTGTTTAACTTCTTTATAAAGCTCCCAAAGATCTTTTTAAAGCTTCCTGATTCTTCCTTTTAAACTCCCTAATACCTCTTTGAAGCTTACCAATGTCTCTTTTGGAAGCTCCCAAGACCTTTTTAAAGCTTCGTAATACCTTTTTAAAGCTCCCCAATGTCTCCTATTAAAGTTCCCAAGACCTCTTTTTAAAGCTCTGCAAGATCTTTTTAGAGTTTGCAATGTCTCCTTTTAAAGCTCCATTATTAATGCAAATGACCTGTCTATGACTTAATCTAAATAAATAGATCTAAACTATCCCACCACTAGTAAATCTAACACGCACTGAAATACTCAAGAAGGGCTCTTGATGCAAGGAATTGAGGCTGATTTCCCATTCCTTGGGTCAAAACTGATTGCCTCCCATTCTTCCAGGTGCTGTATAACCCATACAAGTTTAGTGCTTCCCAACGGATGTAATAAATTTTTCACAATATATATGTTACTTGTGTAGACATTGTTAAACTGTGCTAAATATGTATCAGACATTGTTAAAATATATTGGTGTACAATGATTCCCTCTTGTGAGTTGTCTTCTCTGCCTGAGGCAAGAATTTAGATAAGGCATATATAAATTAACCTTTATTTTTTTATGTACCAAATGATGCCCTCTCTGGAGATTATTTTTTCTCCTGCTTTCTCTGCCTTAGGGAATACTCTAGTTAGGTTAAAAGGTCACAAGGCACACTGACTTCCCATTGTAAATTAATACTTATTCCATATGAGAATAAGTGTCAGTATTAGAGTAAGGCTCATGGGTGTTAAGTGAAGTGTGTAATGTTCTTGGTAGTTCCTGGACATGATACTGGCATGAGTCGTCAACTGGTGTTATTTTTGAAGTTAGTTTGGGTACGAGTGTCACTAGGAAGGTTCTGTAGTGATGTACATGGTGATTATGATCTTGATAGATCATTGTGATGGTGCACTCTAGATGTGTAAAACAAGTGTATCTCTTTTGTATTAAGACCTTTATGACAATATTTTAGATCTGAAATTCATAATCTGTGAATGATATATACCTTATATATGTACCTTGCTTTTACCTTTGATGAGTTTTCTACTCCCAGAGCCTGGCCATGGGCCAGGGTTGCCTGGTGTTTGCCTGGGCAACCAGGCTGTTGCTGCTGGTGGAGATTCAAGGAATTTGGTCATTAAGAAATGTTTTCAGTTGCTTGGAGAATTTGCTCTGCTTGAAATAGATAATGGACACAAGAACAAGATGAACAATGTAACAAACTAATGATTAGGAAAATTTCCAACTTGAAAAAGATCAAAGAACACTGCCTTAATATAATGTAAATTCAACCATGCTACACTTACATAGCATGGATATACAGTGGACCCCCGCTTAACGATCACCTCCCAATGCGACCAATTATGTAAGTGTATTTATGTAAGTGCGTTTGTACGTGTATGTTTGGGGGTCTGAAATGGACTAATCTACTTCACAATATTCCTTATGGGAACAAATTCGGTCAGTACTGGCACCTGAACATACTTCTGGAATAAAAAAATATCGTTAACCGGAGGTCCACTGTATATGTAATACTGTAATTATCATGTATTCCTGCATAAACTGAAATATGTACTAAACGTGACTCATTATACTGTATTATCTCTTATCAATCTTTTGCTCACTGTGTGGTAGTTTTAATGTCATATGCTGTGCTATCTTATCACAATTTTCTTTTAGTTTGTATTTACTACATTAGCCAGTTTCCCACCAAGGTAAGGTGACCCCAAACTGAGAAAACACATTGACCATTATTCATTCAGTAGCTGTCTTGCAAGAAATGTGTGGACATCATAAGTCACATGACCCTTTGAACCATAGCATTCCTCCTCCTCCTCCGTTAGAGTGCAGGCACTCTCCTAAGTCCAGGACTCGAGTCTGGCTCACCAGTTTCCCTTTTTTTTTTTTAAATGAACTTTGTCTCCCACTGAGGCAATGTGACCCAAAAATAAAAAAAAAGACTTTCACCAACTTTCACCAATGGAAGTAAGTCGCTTTGTTCGACGTTTTGGGGCTTTCTTAGGTTCTCTACACATATGCTGCTATGTATGATAATCTGTGTAACTGTATTTGTGTATACCTGAATAAACTTACTCACCATCAGTGTCTTGCCAGAGGGGTGCTTATACTCCAATTTTTCAAAACTGTTAATATCTCTACCCCCTCCTTCAGGATGCATGCATTTCACTTCCCACCTCCAGGACTCAAGTCCCTTTATAAATGTTACTTTACTTACTTTGTCACACAATCTTGATGGACTGAACACATCCATGCTGAGAGAGTGATTATCTCAAACTCCTCCTCGTCTTCCACTGTTATTCTCAATATTGGACTGAAGAAGCCACTGGCTGGAAAAAACGTTTCCTCCGTAAAGATCCCTAAATGTTGCAAAAGTCTCATTTTTCAACCTGTCAATTTTCAAAACCATTTCAATCACATAAGAGTTATGTCCTAGGGTTTCTGTTGAATAATTTCAGGCACCGTACAGTTACCTGGAGAGGGTTTCGGGGTCACCGCCCCCACAGCCTGGTCTGTGACCAGGCCTTATTATCCTTTATGAACCTAGATGCCTCCCATTCCCCAGGTACTATATGATCCATATGGGTTTAGAGCCTCTCCCTGATTAAAATAAAGTAAAAAACTGCTTTACTCAAAATTGAAGTTTATCAAAACTCACTGACCTGATAATGCTCTATTTAGAGCAGTCCTCGAGGGCAGCTCCTTGATGCCAGTGTGGGGCTTTTGTTTCAAGGAATCTGTACCTACCCTTCCCTTGAATCAAAGCTATTATGCCCTCCTTTCCCCAGGCACTGTATGAGATCCCCTGGATTTGGTGTTTCCCTCGTGGGTATAATTATACAGTGGACCCCCGACATTCGATGGCATCGACATTCGATAAGTCCGACATTCGATGCATTTTAATGCAAAAATTTCGCCTCGACATTCAATCGAAAACCTGCTATTCAATACGATTCATATGAGACATGTCCACGTGTGGCCTGAACTGCCCCCTGTGTACCAGTGTTTACAAGCCAGCCAGTGTGCGCGCATCTAAGGATACATTTGGTGTTTACAAGCCAGCCAGTGTGCGCGCATCTAAGGATACATTTGGTGCATTCCATATTATCCATATTATCACTGTTTTTGGTGCTTGTTTCTGCAAAATAAATCACCATGGGCCCCAAGAAAGCTTCTAGTGCTAACTCTGTGGTAAAAAGGATGAGAATTAGTATGGAAATTAAGAAAGATTTTGAAGGGTTTGGGGCTAACCCTGAGAAGCCTCTGCCAGTTGTGGAATCCATTGTGCCTACTTCAAAGATTAAGGAAATGTGTGCAAAGTGGATTGAACTGCACACCTTTATGGATTAAAATCACCCTAACACAGCTATTGCAAGCTGTGCTGGTGACTATTACAGTGACAATGTTGTGGCCCATTTTAGACCAATCTTAAAGGAGCGGGAGGTACAGAGCTCTATGGACAGATATGTTGTGCGACAGAAGTCCAGTGACTCTCAAGCTGGCCCTAGTGGCATTAAAAGAAGAAGAGAAGTAACCCCGGAAAAAGACTTTATACTTCAAGTCCTAATGGAAGGGGATTCCACTTCTAAACACTAACACCATCCACACACTTCCCTCCTCCCATCCCGTCAATCATCACCAGATCATTAAAGGTAAGTGTCAATTATTCTTTTGTTATTAGTCTATTGTTATTGTTGTTATTGTAATTATTCTATTGCATTAAACTTAATATTTCATGTGGTAAAATATTTTTTTCATACTTTTGGGTGTCTTGCACGGATTAATTTGATTTCCATTATTTCTTATGGGGAAAATTAATTCGACTTTCGATATTTTCGACATTCGATGAGCTCTCAGGAACGGATTAATATCGAATGTCGGGGGTCCATTGTATATAATATATTTAGAGCATAAGGTAAAAGTATACTGTTATAATTCTGGCTTATAATTTTTATTTTTATTTTCAAGACCATATATAATTATCTATTATATATGCCACACACATGTATATTAAGTATAATTCAAATATAAAAACTTTTTGTAGTCTTCAGATTAAATTCAACAAATATACCACACACTGAGATCAGTATTTTATTACAGGGTATTTCTAATTGTTTAGTTATGACTAATCATCATCTGGATCTAATGTATATTAATGCACTATACCTTCTGCCCTGTAATAGTCATACAAGTAGTTTAATTATGTTTCACAATGATTTTGAGACATATACTGTACATCAACATGTCCTTGGATGTGCCACATCCAAGGGCAACAAATTACTCAGGATTCAACAAGATGTGGCTATTTGGGCCTTTTTCAACAATTGCCTGAAATGCTGACCATTTTCAAAGGCTTTGCTGATTGCATTTTTTTTGTTTACCACTGGCCAGTACCCACCCAGGCAGTTTTCTCGAGTGCACGGAAGTATTAAGTAGTAAACCCAACATCTTGACACATGTTGAATGAGATAGAGCAGTTGAATGATTTACAAGAGGAGGTATAGAGAGTTTTGTGAGTGTTGGAAAAGTTACTGTAATCCCAGTATTGACGTCAGGGCACTGCATGACAAGACTCACGAAATTGTAATGACACGATTGCAAACAAACCATATCACAGGTGGGGTTAGAACCGCGATGGTCTGGAGTTTTGAGGCTGTGATTGCGGGTTCTAACCCCACCCGTAGTATGGTTTGGTTTAATCACAGGACAGTTACAGTAGGGCCCCACCTATATGGCAGGTTAGGTTCCAGGCTACCGCCGTAAAGCGAGGCCCTACTGTATATAACTTCTGAAAACTAAATTTCTTTATGTTGTTTAATAATTGTTAGATCTGATTTTATTTATCGTTATTTAGATTTTTTTTAGTCTTCGGAACTCCTGAGTAATGAGATCTGTGAAAAATATTGTTTTTGTATAATAGTAATAAAAGTGTACCTTACTAATATGACGGGTTGGGTTCCAGACTGCCGCTTTAAAGTGAATATCCCAGTAAAGCAGACCACAGCCTTTTTTCACATATAAAAGCCTAAAAACATGTTTACGTAATCATTTATTAAGGGCACAATAGCACTAGGCCTAAAAAGATGCAAAAATAAAAATACTAAATATATAAAAAAAAATTAAAATTGCAGAAAACCATCTTAAGAGCAAATCAAGCACCAAAAATAATAAACGCAAATATAATTGAAAAGCGTCATATTGGTGCAAAACTTTCTAAAGTGAGCGCCATATTAATGAGGTATGCCTGTATTGCTTTTCACTAGCTCAGGTGTAATTGGTAATTTCAATGTTCAAGCTGCTGTAAATCTTTTTTGTTTTAATCTGTTAATTAAAATAAAATAGAAGAAAGGTTTCACATTTTTTGTTGGTGGAGCAAAAATTGCATCATCAGTAGGACGAAATACAAGCAAACTTAATCTGGGGTGGCATCTTGGCTTGGCATAATTTCCTAGCTTAACCTCCAAGGACCTTAATATTTAGATAGGCCAGGTAAAGGTATACAGATTAATGTAGGATCTTTTGATTGTAAAGATCATATAATCAGTAGTGGATAGATAAGAAATTTTGTAATCAGATGCATAATTATAACTCAGGATACATAGCTATGCTTGTAGAACATCACTAGTACAGGTTGGCTATCACTAATCCAGCAATAAGTTATCTGGTTCCATCAGTAATCCGGCACTAATTTTGGCTAGCATAATTTCAAATTTCATCATTATACTGACTCAAATTTCATCATTATACTGACTCAGAAATTGTGCAGATGGTTGTAAATCCACAGCAGCAAGCCAGTGGAGGAGAAAGCAGTGATAAAAGTGAGGAAGATGTAGCAGAAAGAATCTCTGTTGATGGGTTAATTAAGTGTATTCTAACCTAACCACTCTGTAATCCAGTAAACTCACTAATCCGGCACACTACAGGTCCCAGTGATGCCGGATTAGTGATGGCTTACCTGTATAAAGTTAAACTCTGTTAAATAGAGGACATAGTTATATAACATATAAGAATACCACCGACTTATATTTCTAATATTGAATTTAGTATTTACCACAGGTTGAATATTTAGAAATATTGAGTACTCTCTTAGATTTGCACTTTACTAAGAGTTTTTACCCATTTCCTGATGCCTCCTCTTATGAAACAGCTAATATAAGAAGCGCATAACTATTTTACTTCTATTATTATCTGAGAATTGCTTTACTTGGGAATACTGAAACTAGTGGCACAGCTGTATCTTGTATTCTGTTTTTGTCTTGGTGCTGCCTTCGATTCTTGAAGAAGCTCTGACTTATCTTCAGATGTCTTAGGTATAATGTGCACATAACCTACACACAAGTTTCACTCTACTATGTGCGGGTTATTTGTATACTGTTCCAGTCATGGTATTGTTCCTTTAATTCTTTGCCTTAGGTATAATTGTCTTTGATAATTAATAGTTATCATATGAATATAAATAGTGTGGGTGATAGGTTAAGTTAGGTAAGATTGGTGAGGAAACAAGACAAGTGTTTTCTGACATGGGTCTTAGTCATATGATGACCTGCTACTAGAGCTTTTGGTCATCTGACTGAGGCCTTCCACTGGCTTACCGGTTCACCCCTTAAAAAATTAAGGTTATAGTTGTTTTTTGTGGGTGATTGTTCTCAGAAGTCTTTCCTTTTGCCTTGTTAACTCTATCCTCTCTAGGGACTCACAAGAAGCAGCTCGTGTTGCAAGAGTTTTATATCAGTGACCCGAAGTAAGATATTAATATTACATCTCACGAGAATACATCCACTCTATGTTGCATTAGTTGCACACATGTCCTTTAACCTAACACATTCAAACTAGCTAAAAGACGCAGTAATTTAGTAGTCATTGAGGTTCGTTTCCTAAGCCTCTCTACCTTCATTTTGGCTGGATGGAAGAATCTTTAAGTTACTTCTCATAGAACAACTTCAAGGGGGACATTCTTCCCCCACCCTATTTTGCATAACCATTAACACACAAATGAACAAACTTTATTTCTGTAAAGCAGAATACAGTATATTATACAGTCAGGGTGATTGACATGTACTGTATAACTACTTTATAGAAAACCCCTTGTTATGCAAAGCTTTTCAGGGCTCTTGCTTTAAGGAATTGGAGCTACCTTTTCCTTCCCTGGATTAAACTTGATTAACTTCCCATTCTTCAGGCTTATCCCCATTAATTTAATAATGATATGCTTCCAGTAAGATTTTGAGGCAAGGTGTCTGCAAGGCAACTCACACACTGTATCATTTTCAGTGTTTAGGCGCTGGCTTCATTTCTGTTTTCACTAAGTGATGTGAGTGGTCAGAGTGCTTCATAAAGATCTACTGCTACTACTACCACTATTGCTACTAAATGTCTACTACTACTACTACCACTGTTGCTGCTATTTATTTGTTTACATTTCTGTGGTGGTGGCACTTAAGGTATTTTGTTACAGCATTTGGTGCACAGCTCTGTTTTCTCACTTGGTGTACAGGTTGTTCAGGCAATTTTTTGTGCAGTGCAGACTGTGTTTTTGTTGTTGCACATGCCTAATGTTGCACATGCCTAATGTTGCACATGCAGTCTACATTATGTAGTAATATTTTGCACTGGCAAATTACAGAGCGCGTGTTCTGGCTTACTAATGCATATCAAGAACTGGTATTTTTTTTTTTTACTTTCACAGTACTGTACTGTGTTACATACTGTGGTGTATTGTATTTGTAATACGTATTGGCTTGTGAGAGAACGAGCTTCAGGCTGTATGAAGCCACTTCTGGAGAGGTACTTGCTCTGTAATTATGGGAATTTGATTTATTTTCAAGGTGAGAGAGAGTTTGGAGCACGCCACATTGTTTGTAGCGATGGAACCCCGCAGGGGCGCCTTTATCAGCGGTGGCCCGGGAGTTGCTCACAGTATCAGAATAGAAGGCTCGGCTGGTTTATCCAGGATCCCGCCAAGTGAGTAACTTTGCCAAAATTGTTAAGTTTTTTATGCTTTTTGAACACAACGTTCTTAATTGGTATGTTAAGGATTTTTTTTTTAATATACTGTATCACTTTTTTCTCCATTTTTTACCAAAATTTTATAGAAATTATAAATTTTGAATATGTGTTTTTGTTAACTGGTACATTAAGGCAACCAAAAATTATTAAATATGCTGTATCCCTTTTTTCTGTTTTTTTTTACCCAAATTTTATAGAAATTATGATTTTTGAACACATGTTCTTGTTAATTGGTACATTAAGGCAACAAAAGCCTTTATTCAAAACATAACTTTTCTTTCATATTCTTCTGTTTTTCAATAACCCGCTAGTTGGCAAAGTTGCAAAAAGTTTCATAAAATAGTTATCAAATGATAATAAGGACATGAACAGAGAATAATAGTTTAGAAAACAAATAGAAATAGAAAGTAGTTGAGGAGGAGGAGGATCATCGTGAATGATCAACACTGACTTAAGTATGTCTAATTCTCTGCTCCTCTTCAAGGGGGCTCCTTGGCGTGGTGAAGAGGCTCTTGGTCTGAGGAATTAGACTTGTTGGTCTCCTTCCTCAGACCGAACCTAATTACCCCCCAATCCCCCCTTCCCTATCCCATCCTCCCCTTTTTTCCTTTCCTCCTCCTCCCCACCCCTCCCTTTTGCTCTTCCTCTTTTTGACCTTTGGGATTTTTCCCACAGGCACGATAGTTCCTAGGTAGGGGAAAGGGTACCGGGGTCCATCCCATTCCGTTGAGGTTCTTGGCGGTGGCGTAGTTTGCCGTGGAATCTGGATCGCCTGGGGATGTCCCAATCCCTCTCCGGTATCCCGGAGGGTGGCTTTGGGTGTCTTTCGGGCGACGGGTGTATCGCTGGAAGCCACCTTTCGGATTCTGGGGGTGGTGGCCGAAGGAGGTATGCTTTGTGGCGGATATCCGGCCGCCCTCTCTTTTGTCCACCGAGGTAGCTTGGCAGATGTGAGTTTGCTATCCCGGATTGCTGGTTTACTGGCATGAAGGGTAGGGTATGGCACGGGTTCCATGTTGCATCTGCGCTACTTGCGGTGCTGAGGTCCTCTTGGGCGCGGAGGGAGATTTCTGGCCCTTTCATTCCTCCTAGGAACTATCCCTCCCCGGTTCCCCCTTTTTTATTCTTTTTTTTTCTTCTTTCTTTTATTTTCTTAACCCTTTGACTGTCGCGGCCGTATATATACGTCTTACGAGGTACCGTGTTTGACATATATATACTCATAAATTCTAGCGTCTTCAAATCAAGAAGGAGAAAGCTGGTAGGCCCACATGTGAGAGAATGGGTCTGTGTGGTCAGTGTGCACCATATAAAAAAAATCCTGGAGCACGCAGTGCATAATGAGAAAAAAAAAAACTCCGACCGTTTTTTTTAATTAAAATGCCGACTTTATGGTCTATTTTCGTATAGTATTTATAGTTGTATTCTCGTTTTCTTGGTCTCATATGATAGAGTGGAAGACATATTATAAAAATAGAGGTGATTTTGATTGATTTTACTATAAAAAGAACCTGGAAATGGAGCTCAAAGTAGGGGAAATGTTTGATTTTTGCCAATGTTCAAAAATAAACAAATGATGTCATTGTCCAATAAATGTCCAACTAGCCATTCTAATATGCAGTCATGAATGGGTTGATGTTATTTATACAATTATTACAGTATTGCAGTAGTCTGCATAATAGTAAATCTTCTATTTTTTGTTTGAATAAAAATTAAATATAGAGAGCAAGAGTAATATCAGAGGGGCCTGGAGACATGACTGATGAACAAAGAAAATGTTATTTTAGAGCCAGGAATGTCTGCATTGTTCATTCTGGACCTTACTTTGAAATTGTCATATTTTTTAATTTTCGTGAAATTGGCCAAATTGCAAATTTCTGACCACATTATTGGGTAGTTGAAATTGGTAAATGGGCAGTTTCTTGCACTCAATCGATAGAAAAAACGGAGTTCTAAAGAAATAGCTATGAGTTTGGTCGACTGGAACAATGGAATTAGCCGAAAATAGGGCTCAGAGTGGGCGAAATCGCCGATTTGTAAATATCGCCGAGGTCGCTAATTTCGTGAAAGTGTAATTCCGTCAGTTTTCCATCAAATTTCGTTTTTTGGTGTCAATACCATTGGGAAAAGATTCTCTATCATTTCATAAGAATTTTTTTTTTTTTTTTTTTTTAAATTTTGCGACACCAGGAGACACCTCAGGATTGGGGGTTGCGACAGTCAAGGGGTTAAAAACAAAAAGAAAGAAGTAACCTAACTATGGAGTACCCGATCCATGACCCCGCTACCCCCGGGCCCCTTATTGTTACTGCACCCCGTTCTGACCTCGCCTCATCTTTAGGCCACTCTTCGGACACTCCTAAGGCCCCTGTACCTTTTGCTGGTGCTGTTTCGTCACCCGCTTCAGGTGCCGGGGTTTCGACTCACTCCTTCGATTTGTCTGACCTCCGCTCTCCTTTGACTATGCTTCCGGGCTCTCCCTCTACGGTGCGGCGATTTTTGAATCACCAGCCCGTCCCACGTCGGACCGACTCTGGTCCCACTTCTAAACGCCAACGACAATCTCCTGATGATGTTACTTCGTTACCTTCCCATTCTACTCGGAAAAGACCGACACGTCATGCAGTCCCTCTCCACACTCAGTTTCGGACCACACAATGGACTAAATTCTTTACTTTAAGACCGACTTCTTCTACTGCCTATCTTTCCGACCATAGTGTTGGCAAAGCACTCCTACGCCATGTTGGTAGAGATATTTCCTTTTATGCTCTTAAGAGTGGTACGTGCATCATCACAGTCCAGAATTCTACCCAAGCTCATGATCTTTCTCTTCTTTCACATATCGATGCTATTCCTATCACTATAGAAAAACATCATTCCCTCAATTCTTGTAGTGGTACTGTTATTCTGCCCCATACCACAGTCCAACAGAATTTCCAGACATGTGGCAATGACATTCTTGAACAGATGCAGCTCCAAGATCTCCCAATTCCTGCCCGCGGGCGAAGACGATACCCTTGCAATGTGGCTCGTTTAACTTTTGACAGCCGTGAACTCCCATCCTCTGTTTATGTAGCAGGACATTGGTTACAAGTTCGGAAGGTGATCCCTACACCGCAACAGTGTAGGAATTGCTGGCGATTTGGCCACCCAGCAAAATATTGCAGATCTATAGCCGAATGCCCAGTCTGTGGTGCAGATGACCATTCTAATACGTCTTGCAGTTGACCTCCCTCTTACCTTAATTGTCATGAGGCTCACCCTTCGTACTCTCGCCGTTGCCAGGTCTACTTAAATGAGCAGGAAATTTGTTACCTCAAAGAGGCAGAAGGTCTCCCTTATGCTATGGCAGTTTCTCATCTGCGCCTCCAAGGGAGACTACCCCGTGTTTCTTATTCTCGTGTTTCAAAACGTCCCCCCACTTCTGGGTTCCATCTTCTGCAGCCTCCTCTGCGGTTGCCAGTCCCATAGTCACTCTTGTATCTAATTCTTTTGCTGTCCTGGGCTCAGACGTCCCTACTTCAACACCTCAGTCTGTTCTCACTTCTTTGTGTTCTCCCTCACAAACCCCGGTATCGACAAAACCTCGTACGACACCTCCTCCCAATCGTCCCTCTACTTCTCAGAAGTCCAAAAAATCTCTTTTAACCCCTCCTTCCCTTCATCCACCTCCACATTTTACCTTCCCGGTCTCTGTACCTGGGTCTTCCCCTTTCACTGGCTCTGTTACAAGTGTGGAGGTTCATCCTCCTCCTCGTACTGTGCCTTCCTCCCCTGTCCCGTCCCAAGTTTCTTCCTCTTCTGCCACCTCCCAGGTTTCTGCCTCTTCTGTTCCCTCCCACACTTCTCCAGTTCCCTCCACCCCCTTGCCCCCCCTACCTTGATATAGTCCATTACAGTTCCGATCTTTACTCAGACTCCTTCTCCTTCCATCTCCGATATTGTCTCCCATACGACGTCTCTGAACTCCGAAACACTTGAAGCAATCTCTGAATATATTGCAGAGAGCAAACCATCAATGGACACTGATCCACCCTCTGTTCCTTCTCTTTCCTCTTCTCCATCTGCGCAACTCCTTTCTTCACAGCGCACCGTTCCTTCGCTGCTTGAACGTTTTCCGCTGCCACCGCATGTGGACTTTTTTAACCCCTCTAGTCCGTAAGTACCCTTCTCTGTGGATTTCTAGTATCTTTATCGTTGCCAATCATGGCCTATTTACAGTGGAATATACGCGGCCCCAGGGGTAATCGGGGTGAGCTTCAGACGTTGCTTTCCCAATTTTTCCCATCAGGAAAAGGATCCGAAGAATACAATAAATTATAGCCTGAGATGGGATAGATAACAGCAGAGTGTAATTTTGGCATTTGCTTACAAGAACCAAAATTACACTCTGCTGTTATCTATCCCATCTCATGCTATAATTTATTGTATTCTTCGGATCCTTTTCCTGATGGGACCTTTAATGAAAGTGCCCTTCTTCTACGCACTGATATTCCGTACCATCAGCTATTTATTTATTTATAATTTGAGCACACTTACAGAGGTACAAAAAAAAAAATACAGATAAGAGCAGCATGCCAAAGCCACTTATACTATGCATAGCATTACGGGCTGGCTTAAAATTAACTTAAGATTAACTAAGCAATGATGAAATCAGTGAAAAACATTAATGTAAACTGATTACTATAAAGCACAAGTGAGTATTACAAAGACAGGTCATATGGTTGCATGCATTGTTGTAAATTCAGTAGAATGGAGTATTCTGTTAGGTAGTGAATTTAAAAAATAATAAAGTTAGATTGGGTTTTAGGTTTAACATTTATGTGATATAATTGTGAGAAACTTTTTAAGATATACAATTTATAAGGTTCAGTTATTCAGTATTTATTTGGTTTTGGGTGAGTAAGTGATCTTTGAGAAGAGACTTGAATTTATAAACAGGTAGTGTTTCTTTT